TAATGATATACATTTATGGGTCAAACATATACTTTTACCACTTTGACCTCCATAACATCAATGACCAGCGGTCAAAGGGTTAAAACACGTGTTTAAATAAACAGTCTCTAACTGTATTTTATAAATAAATACCTCTTAAATCCTATCTCTATATATTTCGCTTTGGTAGAGGGAAGAAAGCTATTGCCTAGATTTCTTTCTAGGTCCCAAATCTAAGAAATGGGTTGTACAATACAAACAAAATATTAGGTTTGCTATATTAGGTTAAATGTCTACGTTAGTTGTAATAACTAGGTCAAAATAACGACCAATTGTGCCCAAGGCTGTCGCACGAATTACCTGATTAAAAATAGTTCGTAACAACATTAACATATATAACTAATGTGATGTGATGTGAAAATAATCGTTTAATATAGGAACCTAAAAAATAACAGGGCCTTATGTTCGTATTCTTCGACTTGGTTATAAGCATAAAGAGAGAATAAGACACGACTTCATGGATTATAACGTCCTTAAAGGTATTTAAACATTTTACGCATCGTTAATAAGACGTCTGGCATTTAAGCCGCCCTCTTCCTCCACGCAACGCATCTTTCATTCAGCCTTTGATGTAACGCATATTCAAGCGTACACGAGGGGCTTATCTCTTTGCCCCATCAAAAAAGCAACATCATTTTCGTATATGTATTTCTCTCGCTATGTTTTACAAAAGTTTTCCTTCTACGTTCTTTTTGATAGATTTATTTTTCGACCTCGTTATGAGGTGACTCGCCTGGCGAGTTCACTTGCACACAAACAAATTTTAGTAGCATTGAATTTGTTAAGTTTATTTCAAAAGTAAAATAAATAGTTTATACGACTTTAACGCACATTAAATTTAGTCTTGGCACACTAAAGTACATTAAACTAAAGGGCACTAAAATGCGTTATCCTTGCGACTTGCATAACGAACATTTCGGGTTAAGTGAGCCACCCACAAAGTGACATAAAGGTTAACGACGCAAATGGTGTTTGCAGAACCCATAAAATAGTAATCTTACAACTTGGCATACGATTTTTATGATAAGTATACAATTAATCATAATATAAATCAGTCAGCATTGTTTTTTTTTTCTATTAAGTAGAAAAAGACCTGACTTTTTGTAGACAGTCCTTAATAATATTTGTAGAACATAGTACGAAGTGTTTTTTTAATTAGTTCCTTATTCGAAATTGCAATTAAGAATCAGCCAATATACTTGCCTTATAAAAAATATATTAATAAATGGTACTACTATTAACGTAAAAAGCATTTCAAGGGTTCTGATAAAATAAAGATAAAGAACATTGACTTCCTTATTTCAAGTGATTACAAGTTTCTTAAAGAATCTAGGACTCTAGAAACAAATTAAATGATGCAAATTAGAATAGGAAAACAACTATCCCTATAAAAAGGGTGTTCTAAAACTACTAAAACATTAGAATAAAACTAAAATATATCAAGCCGTGGTATTAATATTCATGTTTACGATGAATATAAAATAAAGTGATAGAATTAATTAACTAAGAAGTACATGTCAGATGTGGCCTTCGTTGCGTTTGAAAACAAGTAAGTACAGGTAACTGAACACCCGCGGCAAGTGAGCTCCGGTGTCCGGCCCTACGCAACCTCGCAACTCGCAATCACGTTATATAGAGCGTACTAATTTCTTAAGTAACCTGTTCACATTGATCCTGTCATTTAATATTCAACAACTTTTACACATCTTTGCCCTTTTCTTTGTAATCATATTTGCGCTAGTTAGATTGGAACGATTGAATTGACATTTCATTCAATCTTATTAATAGTATAAATGCGAAAGTTTGGATGGATGGATGTTTGTTTGAGGATATCGCCAGGACCACTGAACGGATCTTTGAAATTTGGCGGACATGTAGAACATAGTCTAGAAGAGCACACAGGCTACTAATTTTTTTTTTAAATTCCGCGCGGACGAAGTGTCGGGCGACAGCTTGGCATGCTATAAACACGTTACGTATTAAACATTCCTCAAATTACTTATGCTAGATTCATATTCTTTTTCGCAATGTAGCAAAGATCATTCATCATCTATCGGTGATATAAATTATTTATTTGTAGTGAGAGAGTGCATTGAAATATATTTAATTGAGGCTTACCATAAATGCAATAAAAATTTCGGTGACGCACCGTTGCTATGACAAAGGTAATGGTATAATTATGCAAATGTTACAGTTATGATATATTGGCATGCAAGAGACGATTGATTTTATATGCAATGAATGTTGCAGACGCGTGAAGGGACTCTTACTCAACATGATATTCATAATTATTTGTCAGTGGGTTACGTGCCCTTTACATAAAAATAATTGTTGAAACAAAAGAAGAGCCACTATCCACTATCCGAATCCTGTTAGAATAAAGTTCAAGTGTTTTTCGATTTACATATATATACTATTCGTGACAACATCGTGATGCTTGCACATATCTGCGAAGAAATTCAAAGATATGTGTGAAGTCAATCAACCCACACAGGGCTAGCGTGGTTGACTACAGCCTAGTCACCTTTAGCCTAGGGTAGACTCCGAGCTTAGTGGGGACGTATAGTGAGCTAATGACGAAATACCAAAATATCGTAATGCAACATCCGTCCTATACACAGCAATGCTAGTTATAAAAAACGAAACAAATTTTTTTATTAATAAATCAACAGCCTAGAACATGTTAGTCAATGAATATTAGTAATTGTTTATGTTCCAGTTTTAAGTTTCATAATTATCAAACTTAGTGTACATATTTGACTCAATAACAAAGCAAGTAAAAATAGACTGTATTCTTCGTGCATAAGAATTCATTTTGCTAAAGTTAGATGAAGATTGTTTACAGTGCGTGAAGCGAGACGCGTTGACAGCTGACACCGAGGTTTGTACAATGCGTTTGCTTAAGTTGTGTATCCACTAAACCAAAAATCTTGTACAAGATTACCATCCCTCTCATTCTCTTTGAATACAATAGAGAAAATAGATTTTTGTACAGCGTTTGGAGCAGTGGAAAAGACTTGTTTGTACATCTATGTAAGCTGTCTCAGATTGAGGTGAACATGCGCTTAGGAAAAACAACATAGGATGAAATGTAGCTACAGATCTCTCTTATCCTAATTTTAAGTGCAAATATTCATTATTAATTTCATATTATATTAATTAGGCATATAATATACCAAGAGTCAAGTACAGTAACATATAATATGTTGGGACAATGAAATACGGTAGTATAGTTTTATTATGGCCATAGTACAGGAGCGAAGTCAATGAACCCACAACATGTGCTGGCCCTAGTCGCAAGAGATACTACACTTTTTGTCATGGTGCATTCAGCTGCGTATTGTCAACAGTTGCTTTACGATAACTTGAAGTTATTAAGCAAAAAATCACATTAATACATCTTCAAAATACCACAAAACTGCATAAGTTAGAAAAGAAAAATGATTGGAAATAATATTTTGATTTCCCTAAATCAATTCTTAAAGGATGACATAATTGTAAACAAGACCTAGACCTTGACTTTTATGGGGCTAATGTTGTGTTAATTACATCACGTGCTGAATGAAACCAGGATCTTCCAAAGTATTAGCATATAATCGATAGGATGCGTGAGATACTCGACAATTTCCATGCTGTGTTGTTTCCATTGGCGCTCTGCTATTGACTATAAAAGTAGAATAATTATAGGCGCCACACCTGGTAAACAACTTTGATGAATAATTCGTTGATGTTAAGCATCTGAGTCATCTATGGTAATTAAAAATCATTCCTAGACCTTTGTTTATTAGTATCTAATCCAGTAGAAATAGTTCTTTTAATGATAAAGTTAGATATTGGCTTGAAACTTCTTATCCTAATTTTTAATGACGAATTATCACAATCTTACTAGCCAAACTGATATATAAACACGGCTAAACACTCACGTATATACGTCCGGTGGCGGCACCGACTAGTTTCGAGCCCATCGGGGGCCCTTCATCAGGATGAGAGGCACTGGTATTATGCTCACAGTGAGCGACGGGCCGCGTCCGCGGGACCTATATACGTGACTGTTTAGCCGTGTTTATATATCAGTTTAGTATAATGTCTCACGAAAGTTTGAATAATTTAATCTTACTAGCCTGTGTAGTGATCATAAGATAGGTACAAAAAACATGACATATAACCTAGTCGCATGTAATTCTGGTCTATTGACCTCTGGATATGACCGGTGTCATGACGTAACAACTGCACGACTTTATTTCAGCGGAACTGAGCCAAAGGTCGGCGGACACACGCGGGCAAAGGCAAACGGTACTCTAAATTGCACCGTTTTGACTCATGAATTAATTAACAATTAAGATCTTATCCTTCATAATTTGTCGAAATCGGACAATTCTTGCAAGAGATAATTGGCAAGGAGTTTCTCGTGAAACTGATTGATGACTGACACCGAACTTTTAACTAAGCTTTTTAACAATCTTCAAAAAGGAGAAGGTTCTCATATAGTCTGTATTTTTAACAAATAGGTAATTTTTGTGTTTACGTTGATTAACAATAGTAATAGAGATTCTATTTATTGGGTGCCCGCATCAAAATTACATTATTCCTGTGTAAAGTCATAGTTATCTAATTTACCCGATAAGTGAATGATCGTAACCACAAACACATCCTGTCGGCTCAGTGCGTCAGTATGCCCGCATGGTGTCGTCTTACAGTGCCAACGTACCCACAGTTCGAATCTTTAACGACTCAAACGATGATGTACATAATTACGATCAGTACTAATAATATTATAATATTGCCAAATTTATGAAATTACACACAAAAAACACCTCTTAAAGAGATATCTCGATAATTAAATCTATATTTCGGATCTGTTACCTACTTAGTTTTATACAGGTATATTTATAAAGCATTGCATGCCTTTGCCTCATCAGTTTGGATTGAAATAGTACAAATTAACTGCATTTATATCCCACCTGTCCATAAGCGAGCACGGTAGCATTGTATCCATCGAGTGCGGCTTCTACCAATTTCCTGACGCAGGTCTCGTAGACGGTTTCCTGCGGCGCGCTGGGTTCGAACGCGTAGTCAAAGGTGAAGGCGCGCTCGGCGCCCAGCGCCACTCCGCCCTCGCCCGCTGGCCCACCCGCGCGCGCACATACTCCACATCCTTCCACCACCTCGCCGGGGGTTTGTGGACGGATTCTGGTGCAAAGGAAACAAAATAATTATATGAAAATTATTATCATTAATTTTAATTTTTTAAGTTGTAGGAAAGTTAGGCAAAATGCAGTATTTTTTATTGGTTGTCTTAGATAAGGTAAATTATGGTATAAAGGTAGTAAAAGTAATTTTACACTATTAATGCAGGCAAGTAATGCAAAACTTCAGATGAGAGTGTCAACCATGTCATATAATTACATAAATGCCCGTCCATCTGTCTTCCGCAGTTTTATGTTATCTGCAAGTATGTAACATACACCGACGGATGCAGGTTGAGATAAGAGTCAGTCAAGTATGACGACGCTTCTTGTTGGTTACATCAACGTATCGTTTAACGCTCATCTGAATTCGTTGAGACCCTTGAGTTTTATTCATACAAATATTTGTTTCAGCTAATCTGTACGTTTATTGAAATATATAAATGCTTCATTTAAATTATAACCTCGACACTTCACTCAATTGGGATAGATGGAGAAGATTGAGGAACTGACTAGATTATATCCTGCTTTCAACTGACCTAAAAATAACCGGTCGGTAGCAACAAACTAACTTTTATTATATTTAATTTTGCCAAAGTAATGGAAATTGTAAGATGAAATTTTGCTATTCAATTGTAGACAAATATTTCAACAGGCTGTCCTAAATCTTACTAATATTATTAATGCGAATGTTTGGATGTTTGATAGAAGGTATCTGTAGAACAAAAACGGAACTTCGAATTTGGCATAAATATATTCACGGGTTACAGCTAGTAATAAATACGAACGTTTTGACTGCTGTTTGAATTAAATTATGCGGTTAGTTCTGTGCAGTCAATTAGCAACTTTTACTTCCTACGTATTAATAGTCAGTGTAAACGCGTCCAACGACTCGTGCGTCACCGTAACACTTTCCTATTCCTGTGACTTGCTTTAAATAAACAGAACGACTGAGCTCTGTTAGGACCAAAGGTGTATGTTTTTTTCGTTTAGAACACGAGTAACTTTACGAGTTAATATGGTACATCTTATTTTTAGAGACTTTATATACATATTTAGATAGGCTTGGGAATGTACATCATCAGCTGACGGTTAGCTAGTAAGGGGTGACTAGGCCATATTCAACCACGCTGGCTCAGTGCGGGTTGGTTGCTTCACACACATCTTTGAATTTCTTCTTAGACATATGCAGGTTGCATCACGATGTTTTCTGAACGTCGGATAAATGTACATATGTAAATCGGAAATCGAAAAACACATTGGTACAAGACGGGATTCGAACCCAGGACCTGCAGATTGCAAGCCAAGTGCTTGACCCCTGAGTCACCGAAAACTCTTTTACAATATGTCTAAATACAATCCTCGAAATGTTATTACAATTAAATAATTACACATATAAATATTAAAAAGTAGTAACGTTACTCTATTTATAAAGATTTTATAAAGGCAATACGGCCAGTATTTTCTAATGGCATTAACGGTAAACACAAAAGCATACAAGAAAATGTGGTTAGATAGCAAACTGCAAGTAATGCTGCGACGTACCATATTAAGCTTTTTGTTAGTTGATAAAATAGAATTTCTCCTTTTCTAAACAATATCACGTTACTAAAATATTTTTAGCACAATCCATTAACGGAATGGAAAATAGAAGATATGTTATTTATATAAAATAGAAATCGATAATAGGACGTTTATGAAATTGTCATCGAAAAACAAAATTAAAAGACGACTACGATAATATATTTGTATCAAAACACTACAAAGGTATCGATTTTTCATCCTGCAATAGAATTCTTTTACACATCCCTATTCATTAACTCCTAGACTATATTGTTGTGGAGTTAACTAACTTTGAATTTAAATATTGTGCTCTAGAACAAATGCAGCTCGTAATATCTACGACGAGAATCGAGTGAGATCGCAAGAAGGGAGACAGGCAGGATGCAGCAATTACAGCCGCCACGCAGTCTGCGCCTCTCCACCGGGATAATATAAAAAAGATAGGCGTTCATAATATTAAGATGTATAGTGCAGTTAAGTAATAATACGTTAACTTACCTTTGCCGTTATTTTGTTACTCTTTTAAACATGTACTTTATTGTATACTAGCTGTTGCCCTCGTCTCCGTCCGCGCGGAATTAAAAAAAAACTTAATAATTAGCCTATGCGACTTCCAGACTGTGCCTACTAGACTATCTAGATCTATGCCAAATTTCATAGAGATCCGTTAAATAGTTCCGGAGATACCTTCAAACAAACATCCATCCATCCGCTTAAATTTTCGCATTTATAATAGTAAAATGTTTGTGGGAGATTTAACATGAAGACAATTCTAGAATATGGATTCGAAATTTCGATAAAATTATCTTATATCGATATATTTGGAATAATCAACCCTACTCGTGCATGGCTGACAGGCGTGGCTGCAGCCGACATGCAGTCTGCAGCGGTGCGGTCATTGCGCCTGCACTGACGCATCTAGCATGTAGTGCGTCATTATTCACCAAAATAAACCACATCTGGTTCCACTAAACATTTATCTTGGCGATGGATACTTAATATAGGATAGTGATATTATATAACTTAAAACGCGTTGCAGTAAATACATTCGATTTCAAACAATCACTCAAGATAGCTTAAACAAGCAGATAAATCTTTTAGATTAAAGACTCTAGAACTCGCTTGATTAACACTATTGTTCTTAAGCTTCAATCTATAACTAGCTTAAATCTGGTGGTGTTGCAATATTTGCGCGTTGCACACTCACTATGCCTAGAGATTTAGCCAAGCGCCCAGCCCATAATGCGACGTTGTAATACTCCTTTGTTTATATTCGCTAGGGCCAATGCACGGAGTTCCAACATCGGTGACCATATTCATTGGAAATATTTAGGACAGAGTAAAAAAATGATTGAAAAAAGAGTCTTACGAAGTATTTTCACAAGTAAAGTTCCCAGTACAGAATATGTACATAAGCTTATAGCTCATAAACAACATGACCCCTTTGGCGTTTGTGTTACACAAAGCCGTGGGCTCTTTGTGCAGGCAGACTCTCTACCACATAGACATTGTATTAGGTAGCAATGAGTGTTGCCAGTATTCACACAAACTTTTTCTAGGACACGGAATAGAACGAAAAACAACGTAAAGTATTTTCGCAATTCAATCATTTGTAATGATAAATCGAAGTTTATGAAATTTGGTCGTTTTAAAATAGCGTATAATATTATAGCAATATCAGTACGTATATGTCTACCTAATTCTCTTGTTCCGTTTAAAACGGGAATATCCTAAAATAAATTAAAGTATGGTGATTGCGTGAGGAAACAATGGGGCACGCTAGCCGGCGCTCCTCGCTACCAGCACGCGATGTGCCCACATCGGCTGATTTGCAATCACTTCTTACACGTAAAACCGGAATACGAATAAAAAAAAATAATTAAAACCGTAAGCCAGAAACTGTATCTTAGAAAGTCGTGACTAGTATATAACAAAAATGATATTTGAAAGGTTTCTATTGTAACTTTTTTTCAACGGTGTGATTCGTTGCTATGTTACTGCGACATAAGTAGTTAATAAAGTTTTTTTGTAATATAAAACAAACTTATACAAATACATTGAAAATGTGTACAGTAACTTGGCAGTTAGACACAGACAGCTCAACGCTATCTCACGACTAATGAGTGCAACTTTACTGTAGCCTTCTTAGTCCTCAAGAACTTTGAAGAGTTTGTCTTGATGTCGCATTTTTTCACCGTTTTATCTACAAACTAAAAAAGCAATTTATCCCCGCAGACATAAGCCCTTCCTTCCACTCCAAGCCATATAAAAATCGGTCCGTTTTGGAGAGTACAAGGTACAGATGCGTACTTGCGAACAGACAAACATTTTGTTCGCGAAATATGAATATTTTTTCGGATATTACATACAGACAATCTTATTTTATTAATTTTACAGATATAGATAGACATTGTCATTCAATCAAAGTTCATTTACATCGCTTAATCATTTTAATTGGTGAGTAATTTAATGTCCAGACAGGTCCATGTAATTCCCAATCGAAGCTTTACGTCTAGCTGAACGTTATTATTCTAAGCCGTATTGTACACCAGATATGAGGAAGACGGGCTACGGGCAACGGGTACTATTATCCAAACAATCCGGCAACTTGCCTTTGTTCCTATCAATGTGTTTATACAACAAAACTACGTTTATTACGTTTTTAAATACAACACTGGCTTCATCGTAATTTTACATAGTAAAAACGTAAACGTTCAATAAACTAAAAATTCATTTATTGAAAATAATTGTTTAGTCTACAAAAGAACCAAGATAAAATTATGAAACGTCTAGAGCAGCAAATAGAATAAGTTTTCTCTCAGAGATTTGTCTATACCAGGGTATTCGTAAATCCAATTAATAGACAATAGAGTTACCTACGTTCACAGAGTATTGTGTAAGGATGGTAAGGCACAGCGCAGTGCGCAACACCTCCACTGCAATCACTCTGTTACAAAAGGAATACACCGAATTATACTGCAATGAAACGATATCGTTCAATTTATCGTCTAAAAATTACTGAATACTATCAAAGTTTGTTTCAAAACTAATTTCATTACCTACACAGAATAGATTTGTATATCTACATAATTTTAAGAACATGTACTTCTGTTACTATTACTATCAGTCGAAACACATCATATACATAGGTCGCTAGTTCACATCCGGCTCGAAGGACCGAAGTGGTACATCATACAAATATTCGTTTTATAATTAAGATTTATAACTACTGATACGGTTTTACAAGCCTCACCAAAGGATCATTGCAAAATTGGACATGTACCAATCTTATTCAGTTAACAGGGTCGCAAGCATCACCTTTTCTTGATATATCTACGCTTGACAGAAACATTTTAAAGTATTTTATTTTTCATTTTAAAGTATTACATTATACTTGTCTAAGGCTATGTAGAGCGTACGCGGGTGGCATAGAGTTTTGTT